CGACTGAAACCAGAAGATTCGCTTCTCTAGCATGACCTGCACTACTCAACCCCTACTCCGTTGCAGGGGATGTCGATCCCCTCCCCCGCGTTGTTGAGCTACATTCGTGCATACGGGGAGGGGAGGAGAAGAGATCCCCGGTGGGGTTCGTTCGATCGATACCTCAACGCGCTGAATTTGAGGCTACTAAAGAATACCGCAAAGAGCTGGCAAACGTCGAAAAAACCACGGAAACTACAAAATGCTGCATCAGCACACGAATTATTTTGTAGGAAAAGTACATTGCCATAACACAATTGTAGAAAAATCATAACATGAACTGCTGAATAGACTCACATTACTTCAAAATTCATCATTATTACTACCGACAGTAGGTAATGAGTATAAAGAAGGCTTAAAATCAGTAATATGGAAAAGAAAAAGAGAACAATGAGGGAGAGAGACATGCAATGGGAGGGGTGAAAGGAGAAGAGTGAGAAAGGGACAAAGGCACGCTAAATCAGTACTTTTGTGCATTTTGTTTCGAATGTATTGTTACACAAGAATTGACCGAAAATAAGTTCTTCGGTGAGGTTCTGTAGTAGCCGCGAGGTAGAAGCGACTACCGCAAACGTCATCCCCGCTGTAGGTGCAGGGGAGGGGATCGCTCCCCTCCCCTCTGGCATAGCGAGGTTCATTGTAGGGGATCGTTCCCCTGGGGATCCAGCTCCCCTCCCCTCCTCAGCGGGGATGTACGTGCATACGGGCCTTAGTATTGAATATCTCCACCTCATTTTTCAAAAGCCACAAGTTTTTTCACCCAACAACATATATACCATTAGAAAGCCCATGAGAAAAGGATTCGACGTAGACCGTCTCTTTTTCTCTAGCTCCCCTCTACTCAGAGATACATGGCATTTTAAATAAAAACTTGTGTGTTTTTGTGAGGAAATTTTTATGCAAAGAGTGATAGAAATCCCCAGTTATCTAACCTTGTTACAGAGCAAGACTTTGCCAGTAAACATAGACCGTCTCTTTTTTTCTAGCTTTCCTCTTCCTTTCAGAAATGGAGCTCAAAGTGATTGCATAAAATCAACTGATGCTGAAACTAGATATGATTTTTTATATCTGAATTCACAGGAGAGCTGGAAAAAAAAGAGACAGTCTACGTCGACTCTACCAAATTTTCGAATGGTATGTCAACTGACGAAACATAATCCTGAGTCAAAAAGTCTCTGTTGGATGACCTTCTAAAACCTAAGTATTGAAGAAATCTTTAGGTTACACCTCTGTACCACTTATTTTCCTTCTTTTCACTCCCGCTCCCGCTAGACATGTAAGCTTGCGTAAGCATTCATTTCAAGGCCCATTTACCCCCTTCACTTCTCTAGGTCAGAAATAGCCAGAACCCCCTTCACCTGGAGAGGACCGTGCTCCCCCTATCGCACCTATGCCTCCGCATGAAATTGCAGAACTTTGGAGCCAGTTTTTGTAAAATGCTAGAATGTACAATACGAGCTGGCAAACCCGGCTCCACCCGGCTCCACCCGACCTGTCAATAATGTATTCGAATCAGCATGTTCACTTACCCCCCTCCCTACCCTGCACAACCTGCACACCCTGCACCCGAATGTGCACAAACACACAAACTCACTGATTTTCTGCTTTATATATATAGAGAGATTCAGATTTTGAAACCTGGGAATCAAGCCGATTTTTTCACTCTTTTAAAGGACAGTACTTTTCCGCATCATTTAGTACTCCTCCCTATTCAAGGGTAACTGAAGTTTAGAGCGAAAGAGCTCTATGAACCTTACTGCGAAAATGGCGCGGATTCTACGGCAAGCTCCGGATGCCGTCTAAACTGCGATCTCAGACTGCAGCTGGAGAGCGCAACAGTCATAACTCTAGTGTCCCACAACGAACTCTGCTTGTTAACCTTGGAGGGATTTGCATCCTCGGCACTAATTCAAATTTGGGGGCTTCGGGAAAAGGTTATTTTCGGGATGTTCGCGCTTTCCAAGCCTGCATACTCGGAACCAGTGGGAAGGGTAAGCCCAGGTAAGGGGAACATTTTTATATAAGCTTTGCTGGTATACTGTTTCTTGTGCCTTGGGACAGCTGCAATGCTGGGAGCTCACAATACGTTTGTACGAACGTTTACTGCAGGAGTGGTGACTTATAATCAAGTTGAGCCCCCGTTGACCCACGAATCCGCCCGCTTTAATGAGGGATGAGCTATCATGACTTATAATAAAGCGCGTGTCTGTCTGTCTGTGTGTGTTTATGTCATAGAGCGTTTTGTAGGCAAGGTCTTGAGCTGAAATTTTGGTCATAGCACCCTACCAGCAGTAGGTAAAAAGTGCAAAAGTACAAGCTGATCCGATATTTGGGACCTTTAAAAACTGCGCGTCAAACGGGCCCACGCGGCTTTTGGCACGCAAAACTAGGTCATTAATTCGACTTTTTGCGAAGTCATGATTTGCCTGACAAGTACATCTGCGCCTCATGAATTCTAGCCCAAAAAGTGCTCAAAAAGATTGCTTTTCTGCGACAACAGCGCCAAGAAGTGGAAATCGCTTAGACAGTCGATTTGGCAAGGTTTTACCTTCAGACTTGGAAAGATTTTTGCATGGAAATTTAGCACAAAGCGAATATTATCCTTATGACGACTATCAAGCCAAAACAAATTCAGTAATCTAATTAAATTCGCAAGTGTTCCTTTGCGACAAGTTTTTTTCTCTCAAAATTACCGATCTTACGTGGAGATGCTTCAAGAATGAACAGTTGTTTACTATTCATTTGTGATGTTCAGCATCGCATGGTGGGTTTCAAAGTCATCATTATGCGAACATGAGAAAGGCAAACGGATAGGAGAGCCAGTGCGAACCTCCGCGAAGCGGAGGTGACGCACTGGTAGATATATATACAGTGACCGCCAAAAAGTTGCGGACAAGCCGCCTTCCTTTTTTCATCGCTCATTTTCGGATGGAAAACAAAGATGAAAAAATGACTGGATTGCATGAGATGATAGAGCTCTTTAAGAGCTACAACCCACACATTGCGCCTTCTGGAAAATATTTATTATAAAAATTTTCAGAATCTTTTCCTAAAAAAGTCCGAATATGGCCGCGTCACAATGTCGCGGACATTAATTCTTCGAACGCGAAATCTTTCTTTTGGGTCTTTTCTTGGGGCAAAAACAGAAGTTTTCCGGACAGGTAAGCATACTATGTTGTAGAGCTCATCGAGGACAACAATCGGGTAGTAGTTACTTCCAAAAAAACCCAAGCTTAAATTTTATTTTGCTTTTTTTTCAAACATAACTTCTAATTCCCCAATTTAAGCCAAATTCTTCGCATGGGAACCTATTCAAGATATCCCAACAAAGCTAATTGGACAAAATGGATGTTTTTTGATATTTTCTATGCATCCGACGTGTGCTGTCGAGCTTCTTTGCTAAAAATGGCTCTTGACAGTGAGTGCACAACACCCCACCTGCATCTCACCACTGACTTGCACCGCTTTGCAGGCCTGTAGCTCGGCCGGCAGTCATTCTACGAGCCTGCAAGTAGGCTCATTCGAAAGACCGTGAGTTCCTCGACACGATGGTGTGCAAAAGAGTTGGGTTTGAGAAATCGCGGAGATTTGGCGGATGGGGTGATAAAGCGCAGCCTTAGAGGCGGATGGAGTGAAGGCTCTTATCAACATCAGAACAGTCTTAGAGCTCCGAAATGGGTCTATTGCAAAAAAATTAACGATTTTAAACTTCCAGGATGGCACTGGTGGCGAAAGGAGCTTTGCTCAACTTTAACTGGAAATCCTTGACCTACAACTGAAGCTGCGCTTTATCACCCCATCCGCCAAATCTCCGCGATTTCTCAAACCCAACTCTTTTGCACACCATCGTGTCGAGGAACTCACGGTCTTTCGAATGAGCCTACTTGCAGGCTTGTAGAATGACTGCCGGCCGAGCTACAGGCCTGCAAAGCGGTGCAAGTTAGTGGTGAGATGCAGATGGGGTCATGTGCACTCACTGTCAAGAGCCATTTTCAGCAAAGAAACTCGATAGCACACGTCGGATGCATAGAAGATGTCAAAAGGCATCCATTTTATCCAATTAGCTTTGTTGGGATAACTTGAAAAGGTTCCCATGCGAAGAAATTTGGCTCAAAAAGGAGAATTAGAAGTTATTTTTGAAAAAAAAGCAAAATAAAATTCAAGCTTGGGTTTCTTTGGAAGTAACTACTACCCGATTGTTGTCCTCGATGAGCTCTATAACAAAGTATGTTTACCTGTCCGGAAAACATCTGTTTTTGCTCCAAGAAAAGACCTAAAGAAAGTTTTTGCGTTCGAAGAATTAATGTCCGCGACATTGTGACGCGGCCATTTCCGGACTTTTTTTAGTAAAAGGTTTTTAAAATTTTTGTAATAAACATTTTCCAGAAAGCGCAATGTGAGGATTGTAGCTCTTGAAGAGCTCTATCATCTCATGCAATCCAATCATTTTTTCATCTTTGTTTTCCATCCGAAAATGAGCGATGAAAAAAGGAAGGCGGCTTGTCCGCAACTTTTTGGCGGTCACTGTAGGTACGGCCACAATATGAGATAACCAAACACGTCTATAAACACGAACACTCTCATCTCATGGATTTACTTGCTACTTGCTCGGCTCAAGGCATCCTCCTCTCGCGAAATGAAAATGAGTGCTACTGCTGTTGTTCACATGAAAGTGTGGAAGTGCTCTGATTTTTGATAACTGTTGGTACAATTCATTTTCATCGCAGTTGCCAAAAACTAATAAACTGACAGAAAAACTAAGCAAATCGGGTCAAAAATAGCTTAGAAAATCTACTGGAATTTAATATGTGTGCAAAGTTTCAGCTCAGTCGTTCCACGCACAAAGAAGTGTACAAATAATGCATATTTAAACGAAACTTTGGCAAACTTTGAGATTATGTGTACAGAGATAAACCCAAACCACCGTCAAATGCGAATGTATAGAGGCTGTTCACTTGCAGTCTGGAAATCTTCTGCTGAGCTCGCATTCTGCCAACGATCCGAAGTTTTCCATAGATGACGATGCTGCACCAACGCTCGCTGATATTGCGGCGAACAGGACCACTAGCAGAGATGTCTCGTTAAGTCTGGTAGATTTTGAATTTAGTGGCTACAACTATAGGTGAGTAATGTCACTCGCTCCTTAGTGTTTACAAACACATAGATCAGTGTGGGATTTAAGGGGGTTTGACTTAGCAAACTACTTCTGCGCTGCAGCTATTGAGCACATCCGTCATGATTTTCCGCACTATCACATCAACGTTGGCAAGCTGCAAGATCATCACGTTATGTTGAAGTTTTGCAAGGAGTATGTAACTAGAGCCAAAGAGGTATGTATTATAACTATGAATTTGGCGAATGCTATAGCTGAACACGTGATCGTGTATGTTGGACAATGTTTTCTAGACCAGCTAAGGGAAAAAATTGCTGTCTGGATCATGCTTTCTGTAATTCGGATAGCTTCGCAGATGGACACGTTGCTATAAAGAAGTGGCTAGGCAGAAATGAATGGGTATAGGACTTCATGCAAAGCTTTCAGTCTGATTGTCACGGCGGCGCTACTCGGGTTTTGTGAACTTCGCTTGGGTCCCTCGCTGCGTTCGCTCTCAGCGGATACGGTACTTTCCCATGTTTGAGGGTGGGAAATACCGTATCTCTTGGAACTTGGCTGATGAACTGTGCAAAAGGGCCCGAGGCGCATTCGCGGACGCGTCGAGTGGCCTAAGAGAGGCGGGGGGCAGGCGTTATGGAGCAAAGCAGCGCCGCATTCCCTTGCGGTATACCCCGAGGGCCAGTTGCGTTGCATTGCCTTTAATGCAGCCGCAGGAGTGCACCACTCCTGAGAACGAACTGAGCCATTCTTTTGCTATGCATTGAGAAGATGTTCAAACTGCATGAATGCAATAAAGGTAATTAAAATAGAAAAATAAATGGATTTCAAGGGTGCAAAGGCTGAATGGATGAGAATAAAAGACTGATTTTAAATGTAACGCGTAGTATAGAAAAGGGACAGAAAATTTTCATCCCTGACTTTGCAAGCTTTTACTTTCTCTTGGGTGGTACTTTCAAACACTTCTTCCTCAGAATCTATTTTTTCATCCTCAGAATTCGTTTAACTTCCGCAATTTGGTCTCTCTACAGAAGAAGAATTTTGAGAATGACTCAATCCATTGGGTAACGCTAACTCCTCTGAGGGTGCAATCAAGAGCGACACAACGCAAAGGGCCTTTAGGATATACCGCAGGCGAATGCGGCGTACAGTCTGCCCCAATCCTAACCAGGCCAAAATCGGCATGGCGGGAGTCCGCGCCGCGAGGGTTTCGCGCCACATCTGCGGCTAGCTAGTCTGCTCTCTCCTCGATCCTTCACTCTCTGCGACAGCGCGCGTATGCAGCGCAATCCCCTAGCGCTGCGAGCGCGCAAATTCAGCCGACGGTTCGGCCTGATCCCGATTGGGGCAGACTGTAGCTTTGCTCTATAACGCCACGCCGCCAAGAGAGGCGGCTCGGGACCCGAGCCGCGCCGACCGTGACACTTAGATTGAAAGCTCCTGTAGTGCCAAAAAGGAAGGTCTCGCGTGGACATATGCGACGACTCTTACACACTCAAGAGATGCATATTTGTTGCAATAGTCCGCGGAAGACCTCACATTCGGCGACTATATCCCCTATCCAAATTAATCCCCGAGATTATGACCAGTCGAATAGGTTTTTGATTGAAGCTAAGCCAGGTCAGCCCAAGCAGCCACCAAAATCTGGAAACTAAGTCCCATGCAACACTTCTGCAAGTGACTTTTCTAGATTTTGGCTGTATTTTTTTGTTGGAACCAAAATCACATTACTGTAATGAAATCGTGTGGAATGTTGACTGGTAAGATAAGGGTGTCATTCAATGCGACTCATTTTTTTGCTGTCCGCAGCTGTCTTTTCTCCCACTTTGCTGAAGGTCTGCATATAGAGCACATCTCAAAGTTCTGCAAGCCGCATGACTATAGCAAAAATTTCGAAGTTCCGCTGTTTTGAGGCGGTGAGCGCTCATTCACTTTGTTTACCAGCCTACTATCAGTCATCAAAATGGGTCTCGTTTTCGTTTGGTTATTCAAGAAAAAATAGAATTTTGAAAAAAGCAGGCTTGAAGGCTGGACAAAATTATAGGTCCACCTGGAGTTTTTACTAAAGCACTTTTTAGTTCCGAATTTTTTTTTAGGTAGGTACACATATACAAACGTTAAACAGCTGCTTTAGTCAAGCTGTGTCATACCTCCAAAAAGAACTGCTTATCTGCTTTTTTGCCTTGAAAATGCTTTCACATGTATTTCGCTCCACAAACCTGCATTGAGTAAGAAATTCTGCAGTATCTCAGCTGGATCGGAAGGGACGGGGTTTTATCTACCTTCTGGATGCTTTTTGACGTGAGCATTGAGGAATAAATTCGACTTTTTGCTGCTGAAGCCAATCCGACATTAACAATACTGCAATCCTGAGCTCAAATTTCTGCCTTCAAACTTCTTTTGCAATGTTCTCAGAAGCATTAAGTAAAGTAGAGGCATTGTTTCTGCGAAGGGGAATCCGTATTCCATGGTTACAACTTTTTAGAGATCCTAGCATTCGAGTATAATTGCTGAAATTACCCTGCAAAAATTGATTACGACAAGCACCAATGCTATTTGTGGCTCCGACCAAAGTTTTTAGAAGAATCATGTGCTAACATACACTACAAGCTGTATCCACTATCTAGTAAATAATTACTGTCAAAAATCTAAGTGACGTAGCATTTGGCAAGCTATTTTGGATCTGCGTAACATCATCATTACGTTGCACACCCAACTCAAGTTTTGAAAAAAAAGCAAGGCAGCTTTGTGGACACTTGCGATTATGGCGAACAGCTTTATTCTTGTGTAAAGAATGCTTCTACAATATCTTGAGGTTATAATGACAATGCATAAAGGGTTTTAGGGTAGAACTGAGGCTTACTCTCCCGATTGAGTCGATGTCGGATTTGCTTCAGCAGCAAAAAATCGAATTTTTTCCTCAAGGCTCACGTCCAAAAGCATCCAGAAGGTAGATTAAACCCCGTGGCTTCCGATCTAGCTGAGAAATTGCAGAATTTCCTACTCATGGCAGGTTTGTGGAGCGAAATACATGTGAAAGCATTTTTAAGGCCAAAAAGCAGATAATCAGTTCTTTTTGGAGATATGACACAGCCTGACCAAAGCAGCTGTTTAACGTTTTTAGATGTGTACCTACCTAAAAAAAATTCGGGACCTAAGAAGTGCTTTACTCAGTAAAAACTCCAGGTGGAACTATAATTTTGTTCAGCCTTCAAGCCTGCTCTTTTCAAAATTTTAAATTTTTTCTTGAATAACCAAACGAAAACGAGACCCATATTAATCAGTGATAGTAGGTCGGCTAACACACGGCTGTACCAAATTTTGGAACATTTTATTGACAACAGAGTGAGTTATGGCACTTTTTAGAGTGGACCTATAATTTTGTTCAGCACTGTATGCATGAAGTATGAGTATACAGGTATAGGCTGTATCAGCCGGCATCGGTCCCGCGCCAGCAGGCCTTGCGACGACGCACCGTCGCATGCGGCGTGCCATAACGCATTGCAGAATTTGCGCGGGCCAGATCGCATCGTCGCAAGTCGCCGCAGGCGCGACGTCGCATGACCGATGCTGGTTGGTACAGCCTATAAGTCGAGCAGCTCCGCCTCTTGCGGCAGGCTCCGCCCGGCAAAAAATGTCTATGCTCGCTGAAAATTCTAGAGACGTTGGGAAACTAGCAAGTTGAGAATGTAGATAAAAACGGGCTTGCCTACAAAGGGCGCTGCTGAGGGGAGTCGCTTGAAACTCCACGGTCATCTGCGACCTCTTCTGTGCGTTTTGAGCAAAGGAAAGCTAGCAAGGAACATTTCTGTGTCCAAATCGATTATGAACACGAATTATACCATTGGGCACACCAGAATTGAAATTCAGTGTATCGCGATCGCGGCGTCGTCCACAGGGACTGCATGCCGCGCGCCATTGCACGGCACTGTGAAACGTGCTAAGATTCTTTCTTCAGTGGCACGATCAAGCATTTTGGAAAATAACTTGAAGATTCTCGACGAGGCAGCTAAAGAGGGCTATAGATTCTGTTAGGAAACGTCTGCCTGTCCTCAAATTATAAAGAACTTGAAATGAAGGTCGTGAAAATTTGGCAAAGTTCGATGAGTTCGAAACTTTGACGATAGTTTGAGTGAGTGCGAGAAGAACCATGAGAACGTAGCTGCTGGAAAGAAGAAAAAAACTGCGCCGAATATCGTTCATCCATCTTTTGCTTGTCTGACTAGGTTGGCAACCGATTTTGCAACTTTGTTCCCGTTTCTTCTTGTATATTGTGCAATCAGATTTTGGCATGTGTAGATCCACAGTAAGAACCAAACATTTTCCGAACAATAAAATTAGATTTTACGGTTTAGCAATATGAAACCGTGCACACATGAATCGAGCTAACGGTTCTGGAAGGTATTCAAAGTATTACTTGGGTACTAAGAGTAAAAGGGCGGAAGATCAAGACAAATCGAATCTGACGCCTTTGAGAAGTTGAATGAGTCAACGCTGCTTTGGAGTGTTGGATAGCGGTGTTGATCCGCTGAACTTTATTTATCGTAAACTTTGGTATCTTTTTGGTAAATAGAATGATTACTCATTTGTTTCATTACTACCCTATTTACTTGTTTACCACGGGAAACTCGTACCATAAATTCACCACGATTATTTAAAAAGGTCCAGAAAATGAAAATGAAAGAATCGTAATCAGCATTCTCGAAGTATCCATTAGATGAAATTGTATGCGAAACTATGGCAGATTGAGCTTGACACCGAGATTAGTAATTGCTTTATTCGACTGACGTTTCGGCAAAATCGCCTTCTTCAGAGTCTGAAATCGTCGAATGCATGAGTAATCTATCCCGTCAAAAACCGCATCAAGACTCAGAAAAGACGTCCAATGCGTCAGTAAACCGAGAGCTAAGAAAGTAAATACAGAATTAGACCAGTGCTCACCTAAAACAGCTGATGACTGCTTGGCAGCAGACCGTATACCAGTTACTGCTGATTGTTGCCCCATTGAGATGCTTTGGTATATTCACCGTATAACGTGTACAGGCCCCGTAAAATCCGATTGCCCTCGCGTCGCTTTGAACACCAAGGCGCGACGTGGCTGGGAACGTTTGGTCCCGAAGCGCTACAGGCTTTTTGCGAGCGACAATGAGCGCGCACCCTTTCCACATATATTTTTTTAAACTTGTGAAGGGAGCTTTCGTCAAGATTTACCTTGCATTGACGAGAACAACATGAAAGCTAGGAAGATTTCCTGGAATATAGTGAATGCCGACAGTCGTTCGCGACGACAGCTCGCTTACACTGGTGTTCAAGGTGCGGCGCGGGCAATTAGGTTTTACGGCGCCTATACATACAATGACAAAAATCCGCAGACAGTTGTTGCTCATCTAATTTATATGGTGCGAGAAAATTGATACAAAATTCACATCCGATTTCCAGCTCAACATCAGTATTAAGTCAGAAAACAATCTACTTTGGGAAATTGAGCAGTTCATGCCTGTCGTACATCTTTTCTGGGCAATCTTCAACCTATACTGCGAAAAGGTATGCAGTGCAAAGTACTTGATTCAATTGGCTTGGCTTCGGGAAGGCGGGGCATCGTGACCTAATTAAGGCTAGGTAATGATCAGAGAGCACTCGAGCGAGGAGACGCAGGTGCGTAGCGGGCGCGAGCGACCCTAATTAGGTCACAAAGCTCCGCCTTCTCGAAGCAAAGCCAGTTGAATCAAAGATTAATTATGTGTTGTGTAAGTGATATTCTTATTCAGGATACACTTGCAATAATGGATTGTGCGGCGTATGCACGCGACCGCCTTGCACTCTTTTACCACAGTCGAGAAGCGCTTGAAGCGGCTCACTGACAATTTATTCAGGATCAGCTAAACTTTACAAGTTGAGAATGTAGATAAAAACGAAATGCAATTTGGAACAAGGCAATAGTGGGGCAGAATTTTCTTATTACACATGTAGATGTATACATTTCCTCACACATGTTGTGTTCAGTGGTTTGTGATATGGAGCATGTTTGCGCGTTATGTATGGTGTACTTTCTACTTTGGAGCAACCTCGAACGTTTGTAACCTCAAAGTTTTGGTGATCTTCCGTTACTTCTTCGTATCTCGGCGGTAAGAAGTAACTCTGAAGATACATTCATGAAAAATAATAAATAGTAAGTGTATGATGATAGAAAAGTGAACCTTGTTGTATTCGTTGGAATGGATTTGGGGAACAACTTCATATTCATTCGAGCGCTGTACGTCTAAAACATGAAGCATTTCACGGCTCTATTCATGGCATCAACTCCACAAGCAAATTCTGTCAAACTACGAGAAATGATTCTGATTGGGAGCATCGTGGCTTGTTAAAAATGAAATTCTAACCACTAGTTTGGAACGTTATCAGGGTAGGTTTTTCAAGCATTCCCTCACTGCAAATAGAGTGAGAAAAGCAATTATCACGAACGCAAACATGCACGCATACAGGAGCTTCCAATCTGACTGTTACGGTCAGCCTCGAGTCTTCAAGAGATATTCGCACGAGTTTCTCGCCACGTTGGGCCCGGCGGATATGGTTAACTGTATCCTTAGACATCAATGGCTGACGAGCTTAAAAAAACGCCCCGAGACACGTTCGCGAACGCGTCGAGGGGTGTGGTGCGGAAGGCGACAAAACCCAGCAGAGGCGAGGGAACGGTGGCCACGCCTCCAACTTGCCTGCTGTTTAGTGCTGGCCTCGAGTCAATTAGACAGATTGACGCTCTTGTGGCGCATAGGCTGGCGCGTGAATGGTGGCGATGTCCTCCTCGACTACTCTGTTTTGTCCATGAGAGTTCGTGTGCAAATTGGTAGGAGTGATCACTCAGTGTACGAATGAAAGGTTACGTATTTCAGTGTAGAACTGTAGATTGTTTAATGATAGCTAACTGATTGCAGTGTGAGATTTCGCAGCGAAATTCGATTTCGGTCATATGCTACTCACAAACCATATTTCGATTAACTTCCAGATTAAGTGAGAATAACCGAATTGCGTCAGTGTACTATGCGGTTATGTGGCTATCATTCGGATAGAATTGAATTGAACACAATAAATGTTGCAAAGCAGTTCCTTTCAAGGCTCAAAGTAAGAAAAACCTCATTTTCTGGCGAAATGTCAACATTAGTTTGTATCTACTCAGATAATCGCCGGGGGCAGGCGGTCCGCAAACTCGCGCTTTTCTGCAGGCGGTCAGCAGAATTTTGGGGCGTGGCCAAACCTTCAGCGGGTGGCACTTCCATATTCTGCCAGCGGGCAGCAATACAGCATTTTTTGCAAGCGCTCGGCAAGTAATTTCTTTCAGCGAGCGCTGGCCAAACTTTCAGCAAGCGCTCGGACTCTTTTTAGGCATTTTCGGGCGTACGTCGAGCGCAGGTAAGACTCTGTGTGGCAGAGGTGTTACCGTTGGTTTAATTACTCAAGTTTGAGGTACTTTCTTCCTGCGGAAAGTACCTGGGGGTTGCGCGGTCCTCCACAAAGGACCGTGCGACCCCGAAATTTTTGCATATTCTCGCGGAAAGTCCGCGAGAATGCGGCCGCTGCGCCGCAGTTTATCCATAAAGAAACTGCGACTGTTCTTCAAGCATTCGCCTTTAATTTCGCCAACTTTCTTCCAAATTTCTGCAAGCGGGCGGCAAAAAATCAACAAACTATTTTTCCGGTGCGCGCTTGCTCAAAATTCGCATGGCCGCCTGCCCCCGGTGGTTATCTGAGTAGGTGAACCGCAAACTCGATAAAGCTTCGCGACCTATGGTCTTTGTCAATGCTGCAAGTTTTCATAGTTTTTCTGCTCTTTTGCTTGACAGTGCAAAAAAGAACACTTTATTCACAACAGAAATTGCACCAGAGTATGGGACAAAAAGGAAATGATACAATGATAAATGATATGGTACATTTTACCTGTAGGTCCACCCTGAAAAAAAAATGAATCACAAGGAAAGCCGAATTTTGATGTAGTATACAAATTTACAACAAAAACAAAAAATTCCTGTACTGAGTTTCCAAAGTTTTTCTGTAATTCTATTTGTTCCACATAGTCATTATCGACAATAGTATCTACAAGGGACCATTATGTATTTAGAAATACTGCTTGCAAGTGAGCGAAGTCATGTTAACTTACCATCTCTTTGAGAAAAGAAAAGAATCTACGACCCTTAGATAACGATATCAAAAAACCATATAAATGCACAAAAGTGAAAAAAAGCAACATCTAGCATTGATAACTCGAGCGTAAGTAGCACAATTACAGAATGCTCACATCAATGGCTCTTGAGCTCGTCTCTGTTCGAATGCATTTATGGACATCCACCCTTCATTGACAGAAAACGGTTTGCGATGTTAAAGCAGAAAAGGAGTGAGTGAGAGCGCTTACCTTTCATAAGTCCATAGCTATGGCTCACGAAGTTGAAAGCAAGGACTTTCTGCGTATATCTGAACTAAAATGAAATGAATAAGTCGCACAAACAATTTAATGATGACAAAAAATGCTAACTATGAGTAAGGCGAGAACATTCATAAAGTGATATTGACTAAATAAGCAAATTGTAAAATGCAAAAGTAGAAAAGGCACAGGACACAAGAAAAATCATACCTCTAATGAATCAGTGGACAAATCCTTTTAAGTCGCTCATGTGTATGTACGTCTTCTATGAGGACTCCTGCATCTCAAACATTACTTCTGTGAGCAAAGATGTTTACACAGAACGTGAAAGATATACAACTAGTAATAAATGATAGATACGAGCACAAGAAACGAAACATGTATAAAGCGTGCAGTCGCGCTCCAGTACAAAGATTTGAATGGCTGGTTGACGGAGAACTCGGACAGGGCGTGGCCACTAGTCGCGCCCGTTCCAGGGCATTTGTCGCCTTCCGCGTGTTCCCCAGCGTCGAGTGGCCCAGGAAGGCGCCTCGCAAGGACGAGCCGCGGCGACTGTGACACCAAGATTGTTCTGGAATCGGATCACATCATACGGTTGGAGCAGCATCACGATACCCATTCAGAATGAAGGGGCTGTGACACGCCACACTTGGGGGTCGTATTGACGGATCACGGAGGAGAGAGGTTGTTATCGGATACTGATGTTAGCGATAACATGATATTCGTTGGCAACATCAGACGAGCCCATCATGCAAAATATAATACAAGCACATTGAGACATACCCTATCTTAAAAGTCATAAAACATAACAAGAAAGGCTTGAAAGCATAAGAGAATCATTTTCGTAATTCGTGTTGAAGCACCTCTGTGGAATTCCGAAGTTAATGAACCACCCAATTGGAATGGTCTTTCTCAAACATGTTTAACTTTGTTTAGCAGCTGACTTAGCTGACTCTTTTTGCACTTATTACCATGCACTAGGCCTTCATTGCAAATATCATAGATCCCACTTTAAATCACTATGGAGTTAAAAAAGGATAAAGGATAAAGGATTCGGCGTCTTCAATACCCTCTGAGGGCATGCGCCGAACGCACACACTAACTTCATAGTCGAAGAGGCAATTGTATGCGTGCGGGCCTATTACAGTGACTTGCGGGGGCCAGCCGTTTTCAAGTCAGTGCTTTTATCCTGCCAGATTACTCTGGTACCAATTTACCGGCCCCGGAGGGTAGAGGGCTTGTTTGGCCCAGGGGCGGGAATCGAACCTGCGTCCGATTCGGTCATAGCGGCGCCTCATACCACTACGCCACTCGTCCCCACTATGGAGTTAGGAGCAAGCCAAAATTTCATTTGTACCGTTTTTCGCTTTCAATGTCTCAGAATAGAGAGGATCAACTAGGCTCAAATCACTCTTGTAAATACTCGGTTTAGGCTATCGAATGTACAAATGATTTATAAGACGCAAAGACTGAGGAAGTTGCATCTGGTCAAGTTAGTTCGTACATGTAGCAAGTGATAAGAGAAACGAAAGAGCACTTTATCAGGGAGACGCCGATGAATCCGTAGTCTTCGCGTGCTGTAAATTGCCTTTGTATATTTTTGCCACCTTCTCGCGCGATGAATAATTTGAGCCTGACTTGTCTTCTTTAATCCGTGTAATAACTGCTGTAAACACAATCATTAAAAGCAAGCGGTTTTGGCTGGCTCCTAAATCTGAAATGTGCCGATATTGTTGGCACCAGCTTATCTGCTGAACCATAAGCGTCATGCAAGAGGTACTCATATCACAGCATCATGCTATAAGCATACCGTGTTATTTGACACGCCTGTATGCAGCATTCTAGCACTGCACTTGTGCACGTCGTCCAACTCAATAAAACTTAAAGACAGCGTCCAGGCAGATCGGACCTATGGGAATTTTACGTGAAAAGTACTTCTGTCCTAACTAAAGCACTGTCCAAACGACAGCGCAGGTAGTGCTCTAACGGCTGAGATATTCCCCTCGAAACTGGACCCCGCGATCGTATTCACATGGATTCATGGCAGTTTCGCGTCAGGATCCACGCTTTGCGCCATGAATCCATGCGAGATACGATTGCGGAGTCCAGTTTCGAGGGGAATGTCTCAGCCGTTAGAGCACTACCTGAGCTGGAGGTTGGGAAGTGGCTTAGTTAGGGCCCCAAAATTACTATCTACTGAGAACCCCATGTGTCCAGACCTGCCTGGACGCTGCCTTCAAAATTTGAAGTCTTCTTACATTATATTGTTAGAAGTAACCTTTTATATAAACATATAGCCGAAATTCGGTGTAAGTTGTTTATACGCTGTAAACAAGTCGATTGTTTACTCGCATATTTTTTGAGCGCTTGCGAGAGAACACGTTCGAACATGTCAATCGCATAGCAATGGCATGTCGACTCTTGTTTAGGCCGTGTGAGCAGGTGCGGAATCGTCGTGCGAAACATTTCTTGTGCATCGCCGCCTTTTCGCCTCTTCTCGTTCAGTTATGAACTACTTTCCGTGAATTAACACTGTTGCATTTCGCGCAAAACGCGCACAGACTATACTTGAAGCTGATTAGTATGTCTAAAAATTCTTTAAACAGTTACTCAGATAATCGCCGGGGGCAGGCGGTCCGCAAACTCGCGCTTTTCTGCAGGCGGTCAGCAGAATTTTGGGGCGTGGCCAAACCTTCAGCGGGCGGCACTTCCTTTACGGTCGCATATTCTGTCAGCGGGCAGCAATACAGCATTTTTTGCAAGCGCTCGGCAAATAATTTCTTCAAGCGAGCGCTGGCCAAACTTTCAGCAAGCGCTCGGACTCTTTTTAAGCATTTTCGGGCGTACGTCGAGCGCAGGTAAGACTCTGTGTGGCAGAGGTGTCACCGTTGGTTTAATTACTCAAGTTTGAGGTACGTCCTCTCAGCGGAAAGTACCTGGGGGTTGCGCGGTCCTCCACAAAGGACCGTGCGGCCCTCGAAATTTTTGCATATTCTCGCGGAAAGTCCGCGAGAATGCGGCCACTGCGCCGCAGCTAATCCATAAAGAAACCGCGATTGTTCTTCAAGCATTCGTCTTTAATTTCGCCAACTTGCCTCCAAATTTCTGCAAGCGGGCCGCAATAAATCAACGAACTATTTTTCCGGTGCGCGCTTGCTCAAAATTCGCATGGCCGCCTGCCCCCGGCGGTTATCTGAGTGGACGCTGAGTTTGTTATTCGCTCAAAGGTTCACCCTGCATTATGATTCCGTGCTAAGCCTCGATCAATTTGCAATGGTAATTTCAATTGATTCATACCTATTCTACTTTGCCCTATAACTAAAGATAAGTGTGCATTGTAGTAGCACTGAGTTTGAAATTCAGCTTTTCACGCATTCTTACAGGGTAAGATCGCCTGGTTCGACGATTCGAGCGGCGATTCGGAAGATGATGTTTATATACCATGTGTGTCTGCGATGCGCTCTTCTGAAGGAAGTTATGAGCTTTCGCCAAATTTTCGTAATTTCAGTCGTAAAAAAACTAGAGATAAGCGTGAATTGTAGCACTGAGTTTGAAACTCGACTTTTCACGCATTCTTACAGGGTAAATTCGCTTGGCGAAGCGGCGATTCGGAAGAAGATGTGTATGTATGTACCATGGATACAGCTTTGAACGCTGATGTCAGATTTACCTTCTGTTTCTGCGATGCGCTCTTCTGAAGGAAGTTATGAGCTTTTGCCAAATTTTCTAGTCGTAAAATACTGCGGTTTTCACACAAAAAATGCAGACAGGCAAAACAGACAGACAAAACACCTAATAAACATTGTAGATCTAATCGGATATTATCCGATTTTTTTTGTTGTCCATCCATGTTGTTATTCACTTTTTTAGACCACACTTCCTCAGACAAATCACGGGAACTTCCCGAGGGGCAAGCCAATTTGCCATACTTTCCGAGGGTTTCAATTAGCACGTAAGTGAATGGAGCCGTAAAAATGGGAATTTCCCGAAAACTTTGACACCAAGAGCAACACAGTTAGGAACTTCCCAAGGAAGTCCTCGGAAAGTTCTGCAAAATGCAGAAGCTCCCGAGGATTTAAATTTAAGGGAAGTTCCGCAGAGCTGTTTTGCAATTTAGCAAAACAGTCCTGTTTTGCTTGTTTTGCAAGCAAGACTACCTGCATCATAATGATAAGCTCAAATTTGATAAGCTAAAGCTTAAGGTGCTTCATTTCTGTCTATCATCACCGTCTGAAGGATAGCTAACTGTTATAATATCGATACCTATCTATAGTATACGTCATCCTTGTGCCACCTCAATGCGATGTGTGTTAAGGAACACAAACTGAAATTCCGGATCACCCGCTGGGGTCCCACCGTGCCATACTTGCTAAAATTTGACCAAAAAGTGCCTGCATGATTTCATGCTTGTTTGATATAAACTACGCACGGTCTAAGCTTCGATGATTTGTCGTCGTAGGTCCTGCATGTCGTTTTGGATCAAACATCTCAAAATTCATCACTTTTACTTTCTGGTAAGAGAAAGCAGATGAGCAGTTTTCCAGGATTCACAGTAAGTCTGCTTTCTTCAGCTGTCGTATGTAAAAACAGTAGAGTATCTTTCAAGGGCCGGGCATTTCACGCGATTTCAGTCGCGACGCGATTTGGCAATTCGCCAGAAATTTTCAGATACAACACTAGAAACTGCACATGCATAGTGTGTGTGACTTACGTGGGTTGATGAAATGTGATATCTTCCATGCATTCAAAATGTGCTTTCAGTAAGTTATGGAGAGTTGAATAATGCCAAACCGTGTCGCGACTGAAATTGCGTGAATTATGCTCGGCCCTTGAGAGATACTCTACTCTTTTTACATACGACAGCTGAAGAAAGCAGACTTACTGCAAATCTTGAAAAATCGCTCATCTGCTTTCCCCTACCAGGAAGTAAAAGTGATGAATTTTGAGACGTTCGATCCAAAACGGCATGCAGGACCTACAAAGACGATAAGAGTTTCGACTTTCTACTGAAGCTAAAAACCGTTTACTGCTCTAAAATCAGGATCTGCATCGCACTAGCACTGTAAGTTCCCGAGAGCTTATTCGCAGGACTTCCCGAGGGCTTTACGGGAACTTCCTGAGGTGACCTGCGGAAAGTTCCGCCACAGCCCTCGGAAAGTTCCCGTAAATTGTCTGAGTCCATTATAAAATACAGTCGAAAAAAGTCATAACTTCTTGAAGAGAAAATTCGCAGATATAGAAGCTATATTTGAGATTAGCGCACTAAGCTCTTTATACATCGCCTTCCGAAACGCCCTTTCGACCAGGCGAAATTCCCTTGTTATCCTGTCCGGTGTGCATATTTCATATTTGATTGGGAAGATGTTCAGCTCATGAATTTCAATAACATACTGAGCCGTTCTTCTCTCGAATGTGTTTGACGATAGTAACAGATCATTGCTAAACTGATCGACGCCACGCCCATGACGACAAGCATGAGATGGAGCTGCAAAAATGCTTACTAAACTTTCAATAGCTACGCAGCAAAAACTTGAACTTGCGATGAAGAAAATAATCCATTGTGTGCTTCGATGGAACTGCAAATCGTCTTGCTCCAAAAACATGTTTTCTTCTGCACTTATATAATAATCCGATATATGAATTTGCTGAGTTTGCTTTGGAGGGCTGTGATGTAAGTATACAGTATGAAAACAATCCAATACTTTTTACCAAATAAAACTGACCTTACGTGACCGAAGGAACTGCTCACTGAAAAATGTTCGCATAGCGGACCAGTATACCCTTCAAAGCATTCGCACATCTTGAAACATGTTGTGAGTCGAAGAAGAAGGAGTGTTAGAAAAAACCTTACATCAATAAGAGATTTAGCAGACGTACATCGTTGACTTGCATGCTGGGAGTATCGCTTCTTTGAATTTGTGCAACTAAAAACGCAATAAATTGTCATGGTGAAAGGATGCCTTTATTTGTGTGACTTCACTAGTAATTGTCTGTGGATTTCGTGGCTCGCTTATTTTCGAGCAGAAAATAACCTTTTATCAGAAAACTTCCAAACTTTCAACTAGAGCAGTGATCTAAGAACTGACGCGTCAGTAAATCGTCATTTCTATAGCTTGTGTTGCTACATCATGATTCAGTTACAAGGGTCTTGGAAATTGGAATAGAATTTTTTTGAAATTGCGTGGATTCGTTGTGTGAAGCCGCATGCAGTCTATATATTGAGTTACAAATATAACCCAATTATTCGTCAAGTGATTACATTGAAACTCCTTGCTATACTGGTCAACAAATAACCATAGTGCAATGCGACTTACTTTACAGGAACTGGCTTTCCACTAACACAGCGACGGATGCGGTGACAAAATGTACCATAAAAGTATGGCCGACAGATGCAATGACTAATCGAACTCGTTTTCCAAAGCGTTCCTAAAGGATCGCAATCCAGGAGGATTGTGAATTCTAAATAGAAAGTGTCACGACCATTTACCTTGAACATTATTTATTACTAGCCTGATCTTATAATGAGAGCGAGAAGTACAACACCTTTTAAGAGAGTTGATTGCAATTTGTTTAACATAATCTGGAATATGAAATTAGAAAAAGAACACATTTCATGTCTTAGGAAATCCTTGTATCCAAATGATTGACATGTAAGTTTTTCCCTCTTATCGCTCCGCCAGAAAGTAGTCGCGATCAGTCAGTCCTTGAGATTTTTAAAGTGATTGAAATGTGTCCAAACGTATGTTTGTCTGTTTACCAGCAGTATGTGCGCACAGATGATGATAATAATGATGCGATGAAGTGTATCTCAAGGAGGGGTATTACCCTCAATTCCTTTCAACATTCTTACCCACAAGCTCTCACGTACATCTCGCTTAGAAGGGTGTATTTTGTATTGCTCCTGCATGATTCTCAATTATATGGAGTGATTGTGTTGCCGGTCGCGACCGGCTACGAAATGTTGACGAGCTTTACCGCTGGTCGCAGATTTTAGACAGACGCTATACTCTCCGAGAAGTATAGCATGGGGACGATCGATGCGCATCAAATACGTGTAATTCGGCGATTTTTGTCGCCGATATTGGCGATCGCCATTCGCCGATAATAGCAACTGGCGATCGCCAGTCGCCAGTAGTAGCGATTGCACATAACATAGCAATTGATCGCCAACAAGTTTCCACATGTCCAGTCTCGTATAGTCGCCAAAACGCGATGGCCAATCGCCTGTGTTGGCGACTACACATTGAATATGTATCGATTGCACGTGTGGTAACTTGTTAGCAGTCGATAATAGGAAACACAGTCGCCAGTATTGGCGACTGGCGATCGCCAGTCGTAGCGATTGGCGATCGCTAATCGTAACGACTGGCGATCGCCAGTTTTGGCGACTACACGTTGGATACGTATCGATTGGACATGTGAACTCACGCCAGCAATCGATAGCTATCTAACGTGCTCGCCAACTTTAGCGATTGGAGATAGCCAGTCGTAGCGATTGGCGATCGCCCATCGCCATGCTATGCTTCTCAAGGAGTATAGCGCCTGCCTTAGTTTTTTTCGGAAAAATAAATGTATTTCGCATGAGGTCGAGTAATGCTAGGTCTCTATATTATTAGATGGGACATTATTTGGGTCTGCAGTGATCAGAAATTTAGGCTTTTTGGTAACAATTTTTGTCATGATCATTGAAAAAATATAGCTGACAAGGATAGAGCGGCTGTGTACAATCTGTCCAGTACGCTTTTCAAGATATCAGGCAATGTCACTAAAAACTTATAAGTTGCGGAAAGTTCATGATAGCTTTACACGTAAGCTGTTGATCAAAACTATTTTTTTCTATGATCAGATTCCAAGATGTAAAACCCATAGTAGAAATTTTGGGTTAATGACTTTGACAAGAAAGAATTCGATCTTATCATGGCTTTGAAACATTCTGTTGTAACTGCGAACTGAATCGCTATTCTTATTTTGCAACTAAGCTATCGAAAGCTAATAAGAGCGGAACAGAAAAACAGCAGTCCATGATCTAAACGTTTTGTACAAAGGAATTTCTTCATATGTGGAGTTTTGCTTGATTTGGACATACTGATACGTGGTGGAGTGTTTGTACCTAAGTTGGCTTCGTTCAAAAAAGTGTTAAAGGCAGCGTCCGGGCAAAAACGAAAATGTAGAGTACAGGGGCGCCCGTCCTGGTAAGGCTCTTGCCCAACTGGCAATGCACCAATTTGCTTCTGAAGCGAGAAAGCCGCTTCAGAGGTGGCGACCGGAACACCCCGGCGACCGGGGCGAGTTGGTTCGATAAGCCAGAGTGCGCATACCGCACATAGTCGAGATGTAGGGTCCCACAAAGATTCTGCGTCTTAACCTTGACGGCAGACAACAAAATTCAAATCGAGAGCTTCTGGAAAAGCCCGTTTTCGGCGTTTTCGTCTCTTCGAGCTGCATTTTCGGTATCAGCGGATAGGATAAGCCCAGGTAGGCGAAATAAATTTTATCCGAAATCTTGCCCGGACGCTGCCTTTGAGGAGCTATTTGCAAATTTGCAAGAGGTAGAATCATTCTATAATAAATAACGGCAAGGTTTTGCACTTACATGTTGACAAGTTGCGGAATGAGGCGAGTGATTGCCGAGGGTGCGGAGGGTACAAATTCGTCAACAAGGCTAGCGTGTTTTCGAAGAGGTAAGCATCGTCCCTCCTCGGGGAATGTTTTCGAAAGGGTGCGACTACTAAGTGCAAAAATGCTATAGTGTGGGGAGGTGCCGACACTCTCGTAAGGTTGCTAACACTATCCCCCCCCCTCTTTCGCAAATTTGTACCCGGATGTATGACTTGAGAACTCGGTGTCTTGCGTAAACATGCTGCAGTGGTTTCTCAACGTTTACGCTTCCCTGCTAAAGTTCTTGGCAGCCCGTAATTCGTCAAAGTTCATGGTTGCTCATAATTGGTAAGGACTGATGAGGACAGTTCTTTGTTCTTCTCGAAATAAAAGTTGGTAAAGGGCCCGTAGAGCGATTTTTATAGGTCTCTAAGGCTTATAGGGCAATCATCTCTTACAACTCGTCTATTAGCTGTCCATTGGGTAGAGTTTCAATAAATGTAGTTGTTCATAGGACACTTTCTTGATTTGTAGGGGCTCGTAAGGCAGTTCTGTCAATAGTATTGATCTGTAAGCTTCACGTAGCGAATTTTTTCCACAAATCATTCAATTATCGTTCCATAAGCTTCGCATATGGCAAAATTATTTCTCAGATGCTGATCTATAAGCGGCCAGAGCATCTCCTAGAATAGTCGGTCTGTATGCGGCGCATAGGCGAGTCCCTTTGAAAGTTGGTTTGCATGAACGTGAATGTCGTAAGCGGTTCATGATTATTTTTTTGTTTACTGGGAAATCACAAATACTTGTTTATAAGGGACTCGCAGAGCGGTTCTTTCTCAAATATCGATCTATGAGCGGCCTTGAGGCAATTTTTCAAGATATGTTTTTTTATATACCGAGCGGCGCATAGGGCAGTTCCTTACCAAGGTAATGGCCTGCAAGAGGCCCAAGGGCAGTTTTTCACAAAATATCGGTTTGCAACCACCCTCCTCCCCCCCCCCCTCCCCCATAGGGCGGCTCCTTCCGGGACCATAGGGCAGTTTTTTCCGTTCAAATATCGGTCTGTAGAATCTCATACGGCATTTCTTTTTCGAAATTTTGGTCTGTAAGAGGCCCGTAAAGCAGTTTTATCACAGAATATCGATTTGTATGGATTTCAAGGGCACTTCCTCGAAATACCGTTATGTAAATATCTAAGTAGCTGGTAGCTCCATTTTTTTCGATCAAAACTTCGATTTTTGGCTCCATAGAGCAGATCATATGCGAGCGCTTCGTATGGCAGTATAGTTTGTAGGGGTTCTAGGGTAATAGAATACTTTGGGATATCGGGCTGATTCCCATAGGGCAGCGCCTTCTTATAATTATTGGTCTATGGGGGAAGGAGGGGCGGAAGGGGGGGGGGGGGAGAATGGTTGTAAGGTAGCTTTTTCTCAGAATATCGGTCTGTAGGGCGGCCTTAGCGCAGTTTTTTCTCAGGTATGGGTTTGTTGGGGGTCAGGGGAGGGGTACTTTCTGAACCGGTCCATAAGCTTCTTATAGGGCAATTATTTTTTTCATAAACATCGGTCTATAGGGTGTAACTTCTTAACACATTGGTTTGTCAATGGCCCATAGGGCATGTTCTTCCTATGATTACCGGTCTACAGTGGCGCGTAGGGCTGTTATTCTTTGATACATTGGGTAGGACGTAAAGATATGTCTTAAGCAGCCTCATAGCTTCTCTTATTCTCAAAATATTAGCTTGTGGTATACATAGGGCGGTTGTTTCTTGAAAAAGTAGTCCAAGCGGTTCTTTGGGCATTTTTTGAAGATTGGTTTGAAGATTTAAAGAGCAATTCCTTCTTAAAATATCGGTCTGTGCGCGGCCCATAGGGCAACCTCTTCTTGAAGTGAAGGACCGCAAGCGGCTCATAGGCTTCTTTTTCATGTGCAGTTTTTTTTTGAAAAATATCGGTTCGTAAGCAGCCCATAGGGCAGTTACTCCTCAAAGTAAGGATCTGTAAGCGGCCCATAGGGCATTTCCTTCTAATGACTGATCACCGTTCGCGGGCAGTTTCTTTCGTCTGTAAGCAGCTCATACGGCTTCCTCGCAATATTAGTGTGTAGGCGGCGTGGCAGATTTATCCCAGAATATAAAATCATTTATAGTTGTTCGGAGGACAGTACTTTCTCAGGTTACAACTCTGTAGAAGGCCCGTAAGAAAGCTTTTTTTCGTGAAATACAGTTCTGGACAATCGTAGGGCAGCTCTTACGTATGTCGCTCTGTAGACGGTACGCGGAGCAGGGTTTATTCAAAAGTGGTCTGTAAGCGACACGCGGGGCATGAGAACAATGCTTGTTTTCGCTGCCGAAATCTTTCGGGAACTAAAGTATGTTTAGCTGAGTTATTGTGGACTATATCGTTGTTCTGAGAATCGACTGCTTGGTGACTCTCAGTGAAGGCTGGTGGAAAAATTTGCCAAAGAAAATTTTTAGAAGGGACTCAAAAGATATCGACTATCAACAATGAGGATTCTTATATTTAGAGGAGAGTCAAAAGTCATTGATTAATCAGTTTCGTGTTGCCCACAACTGAAAGGTATAAATGTAGGTGTAATTGTGTTGACAATCATACGGCTAAATTGTAATGCCCCAACCCACTTGCAAGCGGCCCTTAGGGTCGCTAGTCTTATTAGCTTTTTGTTATTAATCTTATTAACGTTGTTTTGATAAGATGGTTGATGGTGTCGTATTATTACGGTAATCCTCCAATTTTTTTCGTAGGGTCTTCCTACGTGATAATAAATAACAAATATATTATATTAGGTTGTCCGGAAATTGATGCCCGTTTTCAATTTCGACCCCAATAAGTCATTTACTTCTCATTTCTGAATAGGTTGCAAAATACCCTTGATAGAGCAAAGCAAGCTCTACAGAATGGCTATCTTGCTTTCGCAACGGCTCTCATTAACCTTGAGCGACCCAAAAACTAAAATGAT